GGTTGAGACGCAGTGTATCAACTGTACTCAGACAGGTGTCCTATTGCGTCACATGCTGTTTCGATGTACGGTGTTATGATAATAGGTTAAAAGTCACATTTACACACGCTATGCAAATTATGTTTAAAAAATGATATTTGTGATATTTCAACTGTCTATTATTAATGGACATATTCTCTAACATGAATGTTAAAAGGATAACATAGCATTTTGTGAAATATACAACCACAACGCTTATGGGATGTCCCTATAATGTTAATACCTGTATGTGTGTGTGTGTGTGTGTGTGTGTGTGTGTGTACTGGTATATATGGTTTATGAGGACACAAATGTTGTGTGTGTGTGTGTGTGTGTTAGGCAATGTAGTCAGTGAGTGGACTTTATTTTTGTTTCTGTTTTTGTTCTTTTCCATGACAATTTACATTTTTACTCTTATGTTTACATTTGTACTGTTTGCCATATCTTTTCTAGTGTTAAATATTTTGTTCCTATATTGTTTAACTGAATCTGAATTAAATAAAACGAATAAATACATCTGAATAAAAAAAAATGCACAACTGTAATTTATTACATTTGCAATAAATGGTTAGCCAGCTTTAGAGTATTAAGAAAGGGTTTCAACTGTATATGGGTACATTTGAGAGAAAAATGCACCTTATATTTATGAGCTAATTGTGGAAAATATAAACTACTTATGGCTATTATTAGTTTATGATATTTTAGTACATAAGCAAAAGAAATATCATGTGAAAAATCGCTTCATTTCGGCATCTAGTTTTTGTGTAGTGATGAAAAAAGCAGAAAGTGTCTCTACTGTACTCAGTCTACCCCTATTGCATGGTACATGAAAATGTTGTTGCTTGCACTTTTTTATTGTTATTTTTCTGCATTCATATAGGCTGCTGTATCATTATATAGAATAAAGTCAACGTTTTTAAAGTAGCCGTATGTATTTCTGTTTATTCTAACTTTTATTCGACTTCATAGACTGCTAAAAAACCGTCTTTATGTTATTCAGATTACGGGGACTGATTGCCCAGTAGCCACAAACCATTCATTTTTGTGTGTGTGTGTTATAGCGCCACCAAGTGGCCAAGCCCATCTACTTTTTCTATGCATCCTCAGATTGATAGATTAAAGAGTTTCACATACATGAATGAAATCCATGAGATTTGTTTATATTTTTTTATTTGAATAATTCATTAATTAATTTTAATGTAGTAATTTTCATACACAATTATTTATGAATAAAAAGAGTGAGAACATACGTTGGCATTGTTAAAGTTAAATAATAAACGACAGTTATCTATGATTTGAATAACTTGATGATCATATAAACATTTTAAGAAACAAATTCAAAGAACCAGCCTGATTTGTTGCTTATAAATCAAGTTATCTTTAAAAAAAAAAAACATGAGTTACATTGAAATAGCGAGAAACATATTTTCATCTATTTTCATTCAGCAAACCTTGCCTGGTCAACATGATCCTAATAAACTGTTTATGATTTATACTTTTTCTGGTCCTGGCAAAGTTTATCTAAAGCAAACGCATGCTTACTAAGTTCATTTATAAGGATGTGACAATGTGTTTGTCCTATATGAATTTATTTAACAAAAAACAGTAGCAATGTAATTCATACATACCATACTTGGCATTTTCTGAATTAAAATTAATATTGATATTTTGGGGTGCATAAAGACAGGGTGATGCAAATTTACTGATATCATAATGAAGGAAAAATTCCTTAAATAAAATAATGAAAAGCTTCCACATTCGATTACCGATTTACTAATTGCTTTTAAATTCAGCTCATCAGTTTTAAAATGTAAAAAAAAAATTCTAAATGTGAATGCAAAGGACAGCGACAGACAATAAAACTTTAACATTCCTCATATTTAACACATTATAAGATACAGCTAAATATCACATTATAAAACACTAATCTCTAATAAAATATTCTTTGTTTTTGATAAATGCTAAAGAAAATATATCACTTAAATTGCATCTAGCAGTACTGAACTATATAAGTGTTCATCTGCACTTATCAGAAGCTATTTCTATCTAATATAATGCGAAGGTTTAGTGACCTAACCTAAACACCAAAACTAAACTTTAGGGTTATATTATTTAACATCACTGAACGTACTGAAGATCCTAATGCATTTAGTTCAGTGATTTTAGTGTTTATGCAATATTTATTTCTTATAGACATACTTAGCATTATCCATTCTAATAATACTATACAGCCTGGAAGGCATTAAATAACAAATGCACCAGAGTGCTATTCATTGGCATGAACATGGAGTCCGATTAAACATTGACAACAAATTCAATTTTGCTTTGAAAGTTCAGTATTGTGCAAGTTATGTTCCACGGACAAAATGTAACGCTGTAAATTTGTGTGAGTGTGTCAGAGACAGGACCGAAACATCTCAACAAAATAATTCAGATAGAACAAAGACCGGCTACCTGAGATTTCACTACTTTCCACTGAAGGTTTCATCACTTACAACAGTAAGTAAAAAATAATCAACAATTATTTACTGCAATGCAACTTGATGACTTGTAAATATTAATGAATATCTATAGGTCTACTGATGCCTTTTGATTTTGCTACTAGAATATAGTGTGCATCTCTATTTTTATAGCCTAAAGGCCTATATTTTATTTGATAAATTCACTTAAGGTCTGAAATCACAAATTGAATAGAAAATCAATTTTAGAAACATATATTAAGACAAAGATGTCTTCTGAACTGTGATTTATCACTGTAAAAAAATATCTAAGCATCTCTAAAACAAGCTAAATTAACTTGAATTTAAAAAAAGAGCATTAAGACTTATGTTTTGAGAAAATATATTGAATTATGTTTTTTTTTATTGTTTTAAATCTAAATCTACTCTTAATTCAAGATATATTCTTTGAAAACAAAGCTTAATTTATACATTTTTGTTAGAGTTATCTTATATAAAAGATCTTAAAATGTTTTACTGGAAAAGTTACAACATAAATGTGGAATGTTTTAATGGAAATTAATTCTCCCATCAAAAATGCATAAACTTTAATCTTAATTTTTTTTTTTTTTTTTTTTTTAAACTCTTCACAGTTGATCGAAATGGTTCAGATCACAAAGACAATAGTCTTTCTCTGCATGCTGATTGGATGGTCACAGGCTTTTCCACAACATGATGATGTTGTCAGTGAGAATGAAGCAATGAAAGATGCTGACATGGTAAAGAGAGAAAGACAAGATGTTATACTGAATGTAAGTACAACATCTGTGTTGTAGGTGTACTGTAAACAGTTGTAAAATGTGAAATTCAACTTTTCCTAGTCAAGTTACCTGTTAATATTCTCTACAGCTTTACCTCTCCAAGTTAGATGCAGTTACTATGGAATTTGATTGAAAGAAATATTGTTTCTTTTCTTTTCAGGTAACAGATTTTACTCCACCAGTGTGTCATGTGGTAAATGAGAATTCTGACTGTCTTTTGTCATGTGGAAATACAATCTTGGAAGTGAGGTATATTATGTCAGATGGCAACGGTTCAGGAATTGATCACACCCAAATTAATTCTTTTGGTGCGGGTTTTAGCAACATAACTCAATATGATGGTCTAGATGAAAATGGCTACAATGCAACCCTTTTGCATTATTCTGGCATCTGCTGTCTTGAAGATTTGGAAGTTGCTGCAGTGGACAAGGCAGGAAACAAGGGGAAGTGTCCTGTAGTTGTCAAACGTGTTACGACCACAGCCAATCCAAGCCAATTCAAGACAATACATTTTTAGTACAGTTAAAGTACTCACTGTTAATGACTTGGTGTATTGAATGGTACATGAAAAATGATTGCAAGGTTCATTTAAAGCAAGTGCATGGTAACAAAATTCATTTCTACAGAAATCTTTTATTGACCTAAATATCCTTGTGATAAGGATGTGACATGTAAAGATGATGCAAATTTCTTGATATAATTAAGAAAAAACACATTAAAATATTTAAGAGCTTCATTGGTTTATTCATTCCTTTTAAATTCAACTTATAAGTTCTAACATGTTCAAAAATACTCTAAATAGGAATGCAAGTGACAGAGTGACAGACAATAAATCGTTAATGTTTCTCAAGACAATCTGCATTTATAAGAAGACCCATTTCTCCTTGGTGACCTGAATCAGGACAAATCTGTCAGTTTTGACACACTAGTTCTCAAAACCAAACTCGATTTTGATAAGTACTTACAAAATATATTAGCATTCCAATTCAGTCCAAATGACATCCACTAAAGACCATGCTTTCAACAAGTGAATAGCAGTAATTTAGAGTTTATAACTGTGTCCTCTGAATTAATACTGTAATATAAATCTTAGAATTAGAATAAACTGACACATAAACAAATCAAGCTTATCTGAAACATGCATAATGTAAGAATACATTTTACATGCCTTTTGTTTAATAAATTGGTGAAAACTATTTTGAAAATTTTAATTAAATTATTCAGAGAAGTCTTATGTTGAGATATTTGTCCAAAAATGACTGAATAATTCCAACGGTAGCCATCACAGTTAGGAATAACAGGGCACACAACACCAAGTAAAACCCTGGCAACCTAGAAACAAAGGAAAGAATATATAAAGAAATTATATATTTATTTATTTCTAATAACTTGAATAACTTATGTTTTGATTATCACCTTTTCTTGCTTTCACGAATATAGCCAGTAAAGTACATCTCTCTGCCCACAATATATAGAAGTCCTCCAAAAGCAGCAAGCACTGTGAAAGGGGAAACATGAAGATCTTTTTATAAGCTATAAAACGGTTCCTCTTTTTTTTTTTTTGGTCCACCATATTACTATATCATTGTTATAGAAATAATTATAGAATACACTATGTAACATACCTTCATTGAAAAAGATGCCAGAGATCCACAATACCGCCAAGAAAATGGAATATGACTCTACACTATTCTGGCTAAAGAAATAGTGGAAGGACATATTTTTAATATTTGATGATTTGTTTGTACAGGTTTATTCAAGTTAGGATTATCCGTGACAGCTTGCCAACCAATCAAGATTTTTTGAAATTACATATGATTTTTCATGAATGAAAAGAGAGAGAAGTGTGTGACGTATGAGAGGCATCAATGATGCAGTTTGGCTTCAAAGATCTTACTGTGCACGAAATGTCCTTTCAAACTCAGGTGGACCAGTAACAGTGGGTGGCATAATTTTATGTTTCATCCTTGACCACCCCACACGTCTTGCCTGAAATGCTAAAGAAATTCAACCACTATCATTATTTGTTTTTACCAAACTTTGCAAATAAAAAAAGACTAATAATTATGCATCTGATGTATGATTTCAAGTGTATTATTACCTTGATAACCATATAAACATTTATAGACCCTTTCTGATTTATGACTTACAAGCCTACAGTAACTGAGTTATCTTGAAATAGCTCACTAATGGCCCTAGAATCAAACATTATTTTAGTAAACCTTGACTTGACCTGATTTACACAGTAGACTGGTTTTGGCAGCGTTTATGAAAAACAAGAGGTCATTATGTTCTACAGAGACATGTCATTGACTTAGTGTTAAGATAACAGGTCTTTTCAGCATTTAAAATTGGCCTGATGCCTTAATAGAAGACTTTTAAGTTCAAAAAGTTAATTCTATAAATACATCAAATGGTTATTTAAAAAAGGATCCGTGTAGCCTATTTAAAACACCTATAAACTGATTAGAATAACCTATAATTTAACATCAAGAATTGATGACCCACACAGTTACTGTAGCAAATGCAAAAACTTTGAACATGTAAGAACAACCTTTATGATTTTAAGTCTTAGATTTTTTTAATACTATCCTGATTGAACAGTGCAGTTGCAGTGCAGTGACTGAACGCATGTAATTTTTGATGAAGAAGATGAGCTGCTTACCCAGATGGACAGCAGACAGTATCGACACTGCTGCGAGGAGAACTGGCAGATCCGAAGTCATATTTGTGGTGATAATGTCCGATACAACTACTTTTTTGATAAAGTTTCGCAAAAAAAAAAAGAAGAAGGGTGAAATAAGGTCAGTATTTCCGCCTCTATTGCAGATTACCTCCTGTTTTGGAGATCAGGAAGAACCGGTCTAAAGTTTACACAGACAGAGTGTAACGTCATACTACGCATCGGATCGCCAGCCATCGTTCCAAGTCAAACAGTACGAGTTGAGAATGACAGTTGCTTTATGTCTCGTGTGTTTTAGAACTTGGGCCCCATAATAATACTTAGATTCAACTAAATTTACAAATTTTACCAACGAACTTTTCAAGCAGTAGTTCTTTTTAGGGAGCATATAGTGTACGATTGGTTCGAATCAGTGCGCGACCTGTCAGATTCAACTCAGGTTTTTTTTTTTTTTTAATATATTGTTTTTATACAGTTTATGTATATTCCACAACAAAAAGCAGCTAGAAAGCATCGTGGTGACGTTGTAAGGGTAGGGTTTTGGGTTCCCGGTCGTAGTTTTGATGAAGACTCAAGCAAATCACTGAATAATTTTTAACTAGTTGATAGAAGCGAATTGTCCGAGTGAACCGATTCGCTAAAATGATTCGGACTTTCCAGCGCCGGAGCACAGCGCTCTCTTGTGTAGCTGGAAATCTGTGCTGTGCGTTCGGCGCTGATGATGTCAGACACTGTGCGCCGGGAACCTTCAGCTCTGCGCTGGTGAAGCTTCCGCGACAGGCATATAGAAGCAGACCATTATACCTCTAATAAACAACAGAGGTAGCGCAATCATGGACAGCGATGATGACAACATGGAAGAAGTGGTGGAAGGTACGAGATGCGTATACACAAACGTTGCATGAATTTGTTTTTGTCGTCTTCTCGGCTTTTATGCAGTCTCATTCCGCCGAGGATTAGCCTACCGACAGCTTTCCTCCGTACACAAGCTGTCAAGCAACCGAGGCCCGTAAGCTTGGGACTTTTTAAATCCTCCAGGTGACAGCAAGTGTTATTTCGACTTTTAGACTTAGCTACAGTTCTATCTGAAGTCCCATGAACTGAGATAGCATAAACGGAAAGAATAAACGTAGTTAGACAATTGATTTCTCTTAAAATACCTTTCATTTTTATTACATTCTCTGACACTTTGTATTATATATATATATAATCTTTTTAGAAGTCTGTAAATGCCCTATATATAAGCTAGATTCGTATTTGGATGAACATGTATGGGATTGGATGAAGCCACGTGGTTAAAACAAGTGGGGTGTTGACACAAAAGTTGCAAGTTCAGCTTTAAAGTTTGATCCAAAACTGCAGATGCACGTAGTTCTCAGCTTTGAACTATCACCATTAAACCCAGCACTTAGTGCCCATCAATTAGTGTACTGTTGCTTAGTATTAAATATTTTTTCTAAATGCCAAGTATCTAACTGAACTGATTTTATCAACCTGGTCCATTAAAATTAGTGTCATTGTTGGGCATGCAGTGCATTAGTTATTTATCAGTCTATTACTTGGCTTATCTCTGATTCTGATTACAATTTCATGATTTTTTAGGACCACTGGATGAGGATGACCAACCTCATGGCTTTTGCACTGTGACTTACTCCTCCAGCGACAGATTTGAGGGACACTTTATTCATGGGGAGAAAAATGGAAAAGGAAAGTTCTTCTTTTTTGATGGCAGGTATGAAACTTTATGTTGGCAGTGGCACCACTGATCTATTATTGATTTGTAGCATATGATTTAAAAATAGAATATTAGACACTGTTGATCAGACTCTCAGATTTGATTATTTAAATCATGACGACTCTCGAAATAGTTTTATCGTTTCATTCATAAGGATGTATTGCAAGTAGGATTGGTTTTGGCGGACTAGATCTGCTGTGCTGCTGCTAACATTAGGGAAAGATTACTGTTGAAACATGCTCTGAATTATAGGGATTCGGATACATGCTGTTGCCAGGTAAACTAGGAAAAACCCCTGTAGCACATCTAGACATGTGGTGCTGGGGGGAGGGAGGGTAACGGAAATTCCAATGGCGCACAGATCTGTACCAGGTTGAGATGGAAATAAATAAGGTGTGTAGATGGGAAAGTGGCAGCTGATTAGTACAATGGCTGCGCTGTCGCTGTCATTCAAATGCACATGCAGACACATGTATTGTCACCAGCAGTCTTAGATCTAATTAGCTTGCATATTTTCCTTCTCCACAATTTGTTTGCTTCTTTTTGGGGTCTAATTTTTATAATCTTACATACTAAAAAGCCTTATTTTTAATTATTTTGATAATAGTGGAAAAAGGTAATTATATTTCACCCAAAAAACACCTGTTTTTTTCCTTCATAGTACGCTGGAGGGTTTCTATGTGGATGATGCTTTGCAGGGCCAGGGTATTTATACTTATGAGGATGGGGGAGCATTACATGGGACTTATGTAGAAGGCGAGCTCAATGGACCGGCTCAAGAGTTCAATCCAGAAGGTCAACTGGTCTTCAGGGGCCAGTACAAGGACAACATTCATTATGGCATGTGCTGGGTCTACTACCCGGTATGTTGTGCCCAACATCAAGCACTTTAAATCACAAATTAAACTCTTATCGACAGCATTATAATGTATTGAACTGGGATCAGTCTATTGAAAAGTTCCAGGATTATGTGTATGTAAGTTTTCTTTTTTCTCTGCCATCTTAAGGATGGCGCCTGCGTGGTTGGGGAAGTGAATGAAGACGGAGAGATGACAGGAAAGTCAGTGGCTTATGTTTATCCTGATGGCCGTACTGCTCTGTATGGCTCCTTTGTTGATGGAGAACTGATTGAGGCCCGACTTGCCACTCTTACCACCCAAGAGAACGGCAGACCACACTTCAATGTTGATCCAGATAGTTAGTTTCAGTTTTATTTACAAATCTTCATTTAAAGCTAAAAAACCCAAATCTGATCAGTAAAAGTTAATCTTGGTATAAAATTAGTTGTACGTTAATCTTTAACACTTTTTTTTTACTCTTTTGTAGGTCCTGTTTACTGCTACGATAAATCCACCTCGTCATGTATCGCTGGTCATAAACTGCTGCCCGACCCCTACGAAAGTCAACGGTTGGTGCAAGCTGTGATCAACCATGTAAACCTCAATCTATCAAATCTCGTTTTGAACAAAAAGCATATATTTGTTTGTTCCAGTGATGTACTGTCTTGTCATTTCATTGGGGAGATTCTGCTGGTTCTCTAGGCATAATACAGTATTTATCATGTCATCATCTTGTTGATTCAAGCTGAAAGATTGTCTTCGTTTTAGTGTGTATGTTGGACAGTCACTTATTTCTGGAGCTGGAGAAGGGCTATTTGCAAAAACTGAGGCTGAGGCTAACACAGTGATGGCTTTGTATAATGGTGTCCGCATTACACATACAGAGGTTTGTCTGTTTGCATTTTACATTGTTCAAGGACAGAATGTAATACTTTTAAAAATATTAAAGGATGCATGGTGTGTTAAATTAAAGTTTAAAAAAAAATCTTTTTATATTAAATTTAACAGGTGGATAGTCGTGACTGGTCCCTGAATGGGAACACTATTTCATTGGATGAGGACACTGTGATTGATGTTCCAGAACCTTTCAATCTGATGGAGAATTATTGTGCATCTCTAGGTCACAAGGCCAATCACTCCTTCACTCCCAATTGCAAATATGATCCGTGAGTGTTAATGTTCATTTTAGTAATATACAGAGATGTAGTGCTTTTGTTTCCTATATTAAATTGAGTAGCATTTTGTTAGATATTTAAATATAAACAATCTTATTGTTGGACAAAAATGGGTTAGTCATGTAACAGCTGTTTTTACCTGTCAAGGTACATCCATCCTCGTTTTGGGCAAATAAAATGCATCCGAACAATCCATGCTGTGGAAAAAGATGAAGAACTCACTGTTGCTTATGGTTATGACCATGAGCCATCAGGGAAGTCTAGTCCAGAGGCACCAGAATGGTACACAAAGCAATTGCTGGAGTTTCAGCAGATGGAGTCTGGAAAAGGTGCTGATGAGACCTGCTAAGACGCTCACCACCGCTGTCTGAAAAAACATGATCTCCCATCCCAGCCTATAACTACCACCAGAAACTCTTCTTTGACCTTCTTGCAGCTAACACTAATAAGTAATCACTCTTCTGAACTGATTTCTGTCACCTCATCAGTTTACAAGGATTGTAACTGTGAAATCCTCGAATCCAAAATTCTATGGTTCTACAATGTGGAAGGACTAGTATGTGTGTCAGTTGGTGACTGATTTGGTTACGCTACAAGAATACAGAGACTGAAAAAGAGCAAGTGATTTAAAGGCACTTTGACTGAAATCCATGGAATGGAGTTTGAAAGTTTTAAAGACCGATGTCACGATTCTTGGAGGTATATGACCTCTTTACCACAACTTGTGATAACTATGCAGTATTAAACCAGTATAGTGTCTTTTGCTGCTCTTCTCATGTTTCCCCTGAGAACTGAAAATATAGATATTTTTTTATGTTGATATTACCAACAATTATTCTTGTAAAACCATTTGTTCTGTCTCCTTTTGCATGTGCAAACAGCTACAGTTACGTTTAAATAGGCTCTAGTAGTCTTGAAGTACAGTATTACACAGACAGAGCTGTTTATTTATTTGTGTTGTTTTTTTTTTCCAAGAAAACCTGACACCATTAAAAGAAAGTTAAGGTGTACTGTATGTGTGGGGGGAAAGACTGAACAGAATGTACAGTATTTGAGAATAAGGCACAAGGTTAAGAGAAATCTTTCTACTGAACTAAACTTCAGCCTTTGATATGCAAAAGCTATCAACAAAGATTTATCAATAAAAACTCCAGCGCAGAGCACAATTGGACTCATCTTTTCAGTGTTCTCAGCTATAATATTATTAGTAAAATGTTGAAAATATGAATCAGGTTTTCTCTAAGCCAAAATGGAGGAATATTCAATGCCCAAGTAATTAGGTCACGTCAACACTGTAAATATCCACACTGTCGGGGCGTGGTCATCGTGCTGCACCTGCGCGCGCTCCAGGTAAATGAGTGACACGCTGGGTTTCACAGCTTGCTTCCAAACAAAAGCGGTCCGGAAGTGATAAGGAAAAACGGCACAGGTAAATACTACATTTATTCTAATTTATAGGACTTATACACCACTTTATACATATTAAATCGGGCGTAGCATAGTTTAAGTATAGCGTTTAGTAAAATTAAGTTAGTAAAGTCGTTTTGTAGTTTCAGAATCAACGCACAACGTGAAATGCGATCGTGACGATTTCAAGTCATTAGACGTTTGATAGAGGATCCAGCTCCGTTCGGAGACATAATAGTTTAGGATTTTTCTCTTTTAAATGATATATATGAACGTGAAACACATTACCTCTTCTCTCTCCGCCGAAGGCCTGAGATGGACCGTTACAGGTATTTTATCTTCAATCAGAAGAGTGTGGTGGTCCTCGGCATCCTTCAGGCGGCGTGCGCGGGGCTTTGCGTGGTTTGCGGATTTATGGACGCAGTCTTCCGCAAGAGCACTACTCTGAGTGAAACTAGGGCTCCACTCTGGGCTGGACTGGTGAGAAACCTTAAAACTGACAATTTATTTACTTTAATATGACTTAACGTAGTTATAGTTCCCACGTTAATCTATAATGCACCATCCCAGTTTTCCAGTATTGTGTAGCAAACTGGGACAGAGTCAAAGTCAGGTAAAAAAAGTTATGTTAGGAAAAATAGAATTAGCGTTTGTATCTCATATTAAAACAGATCACATTTTGCTATTTTATCATGCTAACATGACTTTCCTTCGTAGCCATTTACTGTAAATGTTTCTCACTGCTGTAATGTGGTTTAGGATGAACTTATTAATGCTGATTTTTAGTGATTGAAGATTATACACATTATGATGAAGAAGGTTAGGCTTAGGTATCACCCTCTTGACTTGTATTCACCCTCTTGTGGCATGTGTCTACACTAAGAGACAGTGATTCTACAGGGCCCCAAACAGGACTGGTGATGAAAAAAATATGAGATGTTAGGAAAAATGCTTTTGCGTTCTCTCTGTAAGATTGCATTCCCCGAGAAACTTTGCATTCTCTTCCAAAACCTCTGAAATATAGTTTTTTTTTCTCATATTATTTACATCACAAAGGTTTGCGAGCAAATCTGAAGTTTCTTAGGGGAATGCAAAAGTTTTGTGAGAAAATAAAAGCATTTAAATGTAGTAATTTTTTTTCTCGCATCTCATTTTATTTACCATCACCCTTGAGATGCTCGATATGATTCTATAAAGTTTATTTCACTTTTTCCTCCTCTTTTAGATTATGGCTGCCCCTGGTGTACTTGCCCTCTTTGCATCCCAGAAGAAAAACCCAATTTTGGTAATTTCTGATCCGACTAATCCACATTATTTCTCCTGACGGTTGTCTCTTTCTACCTGTTGATATTAACATGTTCTCATTAATATGTTTAGGTAAATGTCATGATTGCATCATCAGTGATGTCACTTTTTGCTGTTGTGATTGTCTTCGTTTATGCTTGCGTCACTCTCAGCTATGGAGAAGAGGATGATGAGGTCTTCCATGCCCATCCTATCCCTGAAGTGGTACAGTCACACTAGATTATGTTTACTCTCCCATACGTTAAACGCTCAGTTTAAAACATACAAATGGTTGATAAAGCGGTGTCTTGTGTAGAGGTTCGTGCTCAGCCGGATGGTGAAAGGAGCAAACAGCACCCTTCTGGTGGCCTGCGTGGGGTCTTTGCTCTTTTCTTCTCTCACTGCTTATGTCGGCTGCCGCAGTCTGCCGCTTTGCGGCTGCTACGACTCCGCAAATGGCATGGTGGGTGAAATTTTATGTAAGACAAGAAAGTGCAGTATTTTGAAGTTAGTATACAGTATGCAAGATTGAGCTGATAATTACTGCATGGTTGTGTATTTTACAGGAGTTTCTAGTTCCTCAGAATGACCCTGTTACTCCAACTGAACTTGTATGCACTTGGCAAGGTACGTGAGAGATGTGTTGTTCGAGTGGCTTTGGACACTGAGATAACGAAATCATATTTCATAAGTCATCTGCTATATGAGCCACAACGTATGTCATTATGATGATGTTAGTGAGGATGTGGCCAACTGTAATGAGGTTTTATTTTGCCTCTTGCAGATGGAGATGAGCGAATCTTTCACTCCCCCATGTCATTCATTGATCGCTGTCCTGAGCAGGAACAGCGAGACCTCTCCACGCTTCCACCGTATAGCAGAATAGCTTAGTAATTGATATGTTTTTTTTGATGTGAAATATTGGTAAATATAGTTCATTAATTTTCCCCATAAAGCGAAAAATGTCCAGATTTCATCAAGCCTGCTTGTTTCAAATCAACTTAAATTTGTTTCTTGATTTTTAAGTTCTTATCAGTGCCATATTTTATATTATCTTTGTGTTTTTTTTTTAGCTTTATACTTTTTACATGATAGACTGATATTTTGCACATGTAAACCTATATGTATATATTTTACAATAAACAATATATAACAAATTAAGTGTTCTATTTGCCTCTTTATGAATTTACAAACCATTAATTTCAATGGATGTTCAGATAACATACCAAGGGACAGTATCAGTATCAGTATTTTGCAATGTTATTACTTTAAAATAAGTCTCTAGTCTGAACATTAAGTTCCCATTTGTGACCCTGGACCACAAAACCAGTCATAAGGGTCAATTTTTTTAAATTGAGATTTATACACCATCTGAAAGCTGAATAAATAAGCTTTCCATTGATGTATGGTTTATGATAGGACAATATTAGACTGATATACAACTATTTGAAAATCTGGAATCTGAGGGTGCAAGAACGTTTGAGAAACTAAAAAAATATTGAGAAAATCACCTTTAAAATTGTCCAAATGAAGTTCTTAGCAATACTAATACTTGATACTAATCAAAAATTAAGCTTTTATATATTTACGGTAGGAAATTTACAAAATATCTTCATGGAACATGATCTTAATATCCTAATGATTTTTGGCATAAAAGAAAAATCGATAATTTTGACCCATACAATGTATTGTTGGCTATTGCAACAAATATCGGGTATATTTGTAGCAATAGCTAGCCGTGCTACTTAAGACTGGTTTTGTGGTCCAGGGTCACATATGCACGTTTATTAGACAAATAAGGCACAACGCTAGTCAGCTGAAATTCAAAGATGTGGTACTTTATTTTTTTAGTAAAACACTGAAACGGTTCAAACCAATCCTTTGATTATAGTGCATTGATGGTTTGTTTATTTTCCCAAAACTATGTCACTAACTCACTGACCAACATTTGAAGGCATGAGTTGAATCAGACAAATGACTAGTAAAGATATGTTGTACATGCTTGAGTTCTGGCATTGCAAGGTGCTATTTTATCAACTGCTGACCCCTGATATCATGAATTGGCTCATACACTTTGGTTGCAAAGATGCATAATTATCCCAAGAATAATAAACAATTACCTATAATAAAAATGTAACACTTAAACATGTTAATAATCTTCCATATGTTTTCTGCAATTAGAATTTTCAAGCTGTTTTTGTAGATTTTTGAGATCTGCTCATATTTCACATTAACTATTTTATTAATGTGTTAATGAAGACAGAAAAAAAGCAAATTCTGAAGGACACTTAAAATGGTACATTGGGTGAAGCGAAAAATCAGTACAGACAACAGTGGAGAGAATCCAGACCAAGAGTATGTTTTTATCAAGACCAGTTCAACATGAACCTACAAAAATCATCAAAGCTCATGTTGTTTCTGGCAGATAGATTAGATATGAACCTTCTGTAAGCACCCAGAGTCAAAACGTTAAGCACAAATAGACAAGTCTTAGTGTGCATTCAACATGTTGCATTTAAATATTTAAGAGCCATCATTAACCGTGCACAATTCCTCAACTAATCACATGCTCCCCTATTGTACCCGAATCAAACAACGCAATGCATCAGCTAATCAGGCCCTTAACCAACCTACTTCAAAAAAATTAACCAGAAATCATATGCAAAACCTCTTTTTGGCAATTCCCCATAAATCAAATAAAGCATGTCATGTCTGAGCTTCTTTCATGCACTCCACAGGACCAGCTGTGGTTACATAAAGACATGAGTGAATATTCCCTGTAATGGATTGAACTCTGTTCTGCATATCAGTGTTGGAAAGAAGATGGCCGAAGGGAAAGACAATTTAGCCATTAGCATATCTGTATATTTGTACTGATAGATTACATACTGAAATATAGACTGATATCAGACCCTTTGTTCAGATTTATGCCATGCACAGAGCAGATGCCATGAATAATATGAGGTACTAATCTGTTATTATACAGTACAGATCATTTTCATTTTGCCTAACAAAGCAGTACTACATACAAATCCTGGCTGTGGACACTAAAGTAGATATTGTCAGCGAATTCTTGTCCCTTTTTACCTAACTTATCTACATTTTGACATGATTCACAGGAAGGACTGGTTATCATGCATAACCCAGATGTCTTTACAGTAGATTTTATTCAGATGAATGGCTGCTAGAAGAAAATAAATTGACAATAAATAAAACACTGGCAGTGGACTAGGACTGGCTCCTTTTTTTTGGAAAAAAAAGTATATCAGCTTTATTTTACTTTTAAATTCATCTCACATTTGTCTAATATCTATTAGCAGCACTAATAAATAACCTGCATTTAAGTGTTTGTTCGTCGGTTTCTCTTTTCTCTTGAGAGAACTGACAACTTTCACAGGAAGTGTCTGCATGTGTGTGGGTGACATAGAATGAGAGAACAAACAACAAACACACAGACTAAACCAGATTTACCTTGGAGGCTGAAGTGATTTAACAGAACAGTTTATCTAATTGCGGCAAAAATTGTTTAAAAAATATGATGAAAAAGGCAACATGTTATGCATGAAGATTTCATTGTTCAATTCACCTGCAGAACTGCAAAAATCTAGAAAATGTAGTGCATGATTGGCAGTGGAATATGATATGAACTAGACAGGCTGACACATAATAGATGAAGCTTGTATATGTAAGGCAAATGGGCCTACATGCAACTTCTCAAAGCCTCTGGTTTGAGTGATGGAGGAAAGTTTTTTCCCTTTAAAATAATGGCCAGATCAGATACAAAAAGAAATCTTGAGAAGAGATGTTCCTGTGTCCTCAACCCTTCATAGATAACACAAAAGCACCTCTGAATCTGCTTCTTTAAAAAGTGCTTCACCTTTGTCATCTCCATCCTGTAAGTGGTGATTCCTTCATTAGCTCCTCCAACATCCACAGCCCCAAGTTCCCCTGTCCTCCTCGTCCTGTCTCCTGAGAGTGACAGTATCTCCTGATCCGCACGGTGGTTGGCTTAACACCAGCGGCTTCTGAGATTTCAGCTTGTGCGCCACCGTCATAAAAATGGCCTCCACGTGGTCACTATTATTCCGACCGCCGTCGTCGTTTCCGTAGGGGTTCTTGGCAGAGGTCTCGAACAGAGGCATTGAGTGTGCATCAGCGAACTGCTGCGCTACGTCGGTACTTACTTGAGCGGCATGCCGCAGGTCGCATTTGTTGCCGACCAAGATTCTAGGCACCTCTTGGCCCAAGGCATGCTGACGGCACTCCTCGATCCACGCCGGAAGACTTCGGAAACTAGCGGCATTGGTGACATCGTAGACAAACACCACAGCGTGGACGTTGCGGTAATAGTGCTGCACCATACTCTTTCGAAAGCGCTCCTGGCCTGCGGTGTCCCACAACTGGACCTGGTAGAGGGGAAAAAGGGAGAGCTATTAGCTGTCAACTTACATCATACATGCATATTCAGTTCTCCCAAAAATAAAAATTCTGTCATTAATTACTCAGCCTCATGTTGTTCCAAACCCGTTAAGACCTTCGTTCATCTTCGGAACACAAATTAAGATATTTTTGATGAAATCCAAGAACTTTCTGCATAGACAGCAACGCAACTGAAATGTTCCCGCGTCCAGGATCATAGCAAGGACTTCATAAAATTACGGTTGAACCCCTGATGTCACATGGACTATTTTACCGATGTCCTTGCTACGTTTCTGGACCTGGGAACATTTCAGTTGTATAGCTATCTATGCAGGGTCAAAAAGCTCTCGGATTTCATCAAAAATATCTTAATTTGTGTTCCGAAGATGGACGAAGGTCTTACGGGTTTGGAACGACATGAGGGTGAGTAATTAATGACAGAATTTTCATTTTTGGGTGAACTATCCCTTTAAAAGCTATCAGAGTCCTCCCCTGACTGGTTGGAGGGCATGTATGGACTGCCCTGTGACGTGGGTCCCCCCTCTCCATCGTGAAGATGAGCTCCCACCGCGCCAAAGTTCTGCAGGAACGGACACTCCACTGCTCTGGGATCCGGATGGCAGCTTTTCAGACAGTTGAGATTCGAGGGTTTCGCCACCAAGCCCAGGCCAGAGGGAGAAGCCTGACAAGAATCCGGCCAGAACGTGAGCTGTTTGGCCACCTCTATTTCCTCCATGCTCCTCTGTTTACTGCATCGGTCAGCTTTGAGCTCCATGTATGGCCTCACACCATCCTCCAGTCCTAAGCGAGGGGGCGTTCCCCGTTTTTCAGAGTCACAAATGGATTGTGCCGACTCATTACAGATTGGAAATGATGGCTGGCCTGTGCAAGGACCAGGATTCAGGGGACATTTAGGCAGAAAAGAATCTTCATTGCCAATGAGAGGTGTCTTATAGCATGATAAGATCTCCTTGCCGTCTTCATTACTTGAGCAAGGTAGGCAGTTTAAAGGACAATCGTCTTCTGACTTGTCAAGGGACATGGGTTTCGAGTCGCAAACATCCAGACCGGATCGCTCCTTCCCGCAAGCTATTTGAAACTTCCGGTACTTTGGGCACAGGAGGGAGTAATCCGTGTCTTTCTGGCTGTGACAGCTTTTTCCGACGTCCTCAATGGCCACCGAAGGAGGACAAGATGGCTCCTTGACTTCAAGCTGAAGCTGCGAGGGCCGAAGTAATGATTTGTCTTCATCAATAACATCATCCCCGTCAATCGAGCTCAATTCAGCCCCTCGTGATTTGCAGCATTTGGTTTTGCAGCACTTCCGCTGGACTTTTGATGCACTTCTGCTGCTCTCAAAGAACTTGGGGAGAAGGAAGTCAAAGCAGGCTTTGTCCAAGTTCTTGAAACCAAGAACAGAGGCACAGTTACGGATTTCCAGCACATTCTCTTTGGTAAAGATGAGTTTTGAGGTGTAGGCAAAGTCCAGCAAGGGTTCAAATCCCTCTGAGGTAACCTTCAAAATGAAAAAAATGAAGAAAAAAAAAAACAATACGTTTTAAATCACATGCATAAAAATGCATCATATATCTCACATAGACGTTGAATTAAAGGAATAGTTCATCCAAAAATGAAAGTTCTGTTTCTATAATGATGGAGGACAGTGACGCAGAAAAGAAGAATTGTTGAATCGTTATTTTTGTTTTCTTTGCACACAAAAATAATTCTCGTGACTTCATAAAATTACGGTTGAACCCCTGATGTCACATGGACTATTTTACCGATGTCCTTGCTACGTTTCTGGACCTGGGAACATTTCAGTTGTATAGCTATCTATGCAGGGTCAAAAAGCTCTCGGATTTCATCAAAAATATCTTAATTTGTGTTCCGAAGATGGACGAAGGTCTTACGGGTTTGGAACGACATGAGGGTGAGTAATTAATGACAGAATTTTCATTTTTGGGTGAACTATCCCTTTAACATTGCAGGAGAATGCAGGGTGTGTTCACATATAAATGACAAACACATGTAGGTATTATATACGTGATAAAGTGTGGGTCTTGTGCATGAGAGTTTTTGGAAATTTACATTTAGTTACATAATACTGCTATGACCAATACCACCATTACCACCAATACCAGGTGTACCACCAATGTATAGACAGTCTCAATAATAAATCTAACCCTGAATTATATTGGCCATCTCTTCAACCTTATAAAGTCTATTGTAGATGTAGATTGTAAAACAATGTAGTACATGCATGATGGTTTATACTGACAACTGATATTCATACACAAGTATTCTGCTATATTGTTATAAAAACATTACTGATTTAATTTTGTGAATAAAATCATACTCTATGGGCCATAAAAGCCTTGTGTATCAAATATGGTACAAAACATAAAACACACAAACTTTATTTACATTATATATAAAGGTTCAATAAACTAATCTATTTTAAAAGAGACTGACTAATAATTCGTGTGTCAGGCTTTACAGGATGACATTAACACATATTGAGTAAATTTGCAAAATAAAGTCCTGAAATCAGAAGCATCCTCACCTTGATTTTCTCGCCGTCTATTTCAATAACCTTCTCCCGAAAATCCACCCCGATAGTGGCCTCAGTCTTGTCTGGAAACTTGCCTGCACAGAATCTATAGGTGAGGCAAGTCTTGCCAACTCCAGAGTCTCCTATCACGATGATCTTAAAGATTCGAGTCCGCGGGGGAGGCAGCGAAGAGCTGGTCAAAGATGAGCTAAATTCGAAGGAGGACTCGATATCAGCCATGCTGTCTTCCTATAGACAAACGAGTGCCTCAGAGAATGGCACCGTGAAATGTGCTGATGCTAACGGGTCAAATAAATAATTCAAACGCAGGCTTAGTTTCACCTTCAGCCCTTCACCTCAAGCTTCATGTGCAAAACTTAGAGATTCAAACGTCGGGGACTGTATTTGACGTGTTGACCGGTAGACTCCGCATTTTGCTGATGCATTCCTGGCGGAGTCTTCTTACACTGTTTGGGTCTGTCTGCAACCACGTACGACGTTGAGTTGACATAACTGTAATCTCGCGAGAAGTCACATAATACTGAGAGCGTTTTGTGTGGTACTTCCAAACAATACAGTACACACAAAAGAGCATAACAAAACTGAAACTTACCAGTGTAAACAGAGCACACAAAACAAACACACACACACACGCACACACACTAAATAAATAAATATGGAAGTTATTCTATGATATTCTATTGTAATATATGCATGTATTATAAAAAAGGGGGTGGAAGTTTTTACTTCTTTGCAGTGACTTGATATTTATTCTTTTAACATTGCAGCAGAATTGCACTAAAAAGATTTAGTCGCGTTTGTTTACTGATTCATTCCCTTAAAAGCTTTGTTAAAAACACCGATTCGTTCACGAAAGAATCTTCACTAGTCATGTGTGGCTAAAAGTAAACAGTGCAGTGACACTTTCAAAGTCCAACTCTAGATTTATTCACTGGACGACTGCAGAAAATGTTGGTAAGTTCTCATGATGTGCGACTGTTTTAAAACTAATAACACCCCCATTAAAATGTATATTTTCAGTACTATAGGCTCATGGGCGTAGCTTGTGGGGGGGCCAGAGGGGCCTGGCTCCCCCATAGCGACTTAAGAATTTTACTAAATATTTATTTATAAAGTTTTTTCTATGAAGTAAAAATTTATATAATGCAGTTAATAATACATGTAAAAGTTAATACATTTTAAATTGTTATTGTAAGTAAATTAATAAATCAAAACAAACTTAACGTCTCCCTCAATCTCATTTGCGTAAGAATTGTCACGTGACGAATCTACATTTTGGTGGATGATAGACTTAACGGTAATGCTTGCCTGTTGTGTGGAATAAAATGATGTTCCGCGTTTTTAACAACATACACGAACTGCAGAGAAATCTGGAGACAACGAAAAACTCAGATGAAGAT